TGGAGACTCTGGAGGTAGGAGGACATGTTTTTGAACTAGGCTCTTGTGTTCATGTCTTCCAGCCTTACTAATTCATATCAACTTTTTTCCACCATCAAACACCATATTCAATAACCAGTTTAATGGGGTAGGCTTATACTGAAAACCTGACAGACTATGCTCCTGAAATTTTGCTTATAATTCAAAATTGACCATCTAAAACCCCTAAAGTGAGTTGTGTGTGTCTCTTAAAATCAAAAGAAAAATGTTAAGAGGACTATAAACTTTTCTGGGATATGCAATTTTATTTTCCTACGCTGTGTGGCTTCTGGTTGGATTGTTTTATGCATAAGGACAATTACATTTTAGTTTAAGAGTATAGGATATGGTTTCTATAGATGTTTATAATGCATCATCAATTAAATGTTATGCACACTTATCTAAACGCCTAACTACCTTTTCAGTGCTGGCTATGAACATCACACTGCTTGTTAAGTTGTCTGTTGAAGTTACTACTGAATGTAAAATGGATTCAGAATTGCTTCATATGCACCTGAGACATGAGATTTGGTTGACTTTAGAGTTTGGATTTTTCATGTGTTACAACTGCAGTCTGCTGACCAGACTCTGAGGAAAAGTCCATCAGAGTTTGTAAATTATCTGGTTGATAACGGGATTCCCTAAAAGTAGGGCCCTGTTATGTTTTTGTGATTGATGGCATATCTTTATGCTTCACTATCTTTATGCTTACTCTGAATTCTCTGACTTTATAGAACCATTTATATAATCCTCTAGAATAGTGTTCTGGTATCATTTCATGGTGTTTATTAATTTGATGTTAATGTTTTGTTTATCCTCTCTGCTCAGAAAGTTAAGAGGTTATGAGACAAGTTCTTAATATGCATCTACATTAGAGTCTTATTTGCAAGAGCAGCTTTCAAATACATAGGAAAGAAATCATTCTTAAATTACTGAATATTTGATGTTGCAACATGTGTTTTTATAGTATAATATTCTTAATTAGATTCTTAGTACTGAGGCATTATTCCTATTCTTCACTATACTAAATCTATTTTCAAGGGTCAAGTTTTGTTAAGATTTCACAAATACAAGGTCTCTGTTGTTTTAAATAGGCTCTCCTTGTATTTATTTCTTTGAAATCCACTCAGTTAAAAGCTATTTGTTTATGCTTTGATCATCTCTGAAGAAAAAAACAGCTCCTGATCCACAAAGTATGTTAGGTGTTGAGCTAGTTTTTAATTTCTTGTTTATATACGACATGTACATACAACAATAGCTATTTCAAAATAGTGCTATTGTCCTCATTGATTTAGTCTTATAACCTAACTCACCACGCAGTGGTCATATAATTGAACTTAGTCTATACAACTGAATATTGTAGTAGCTTCA